CCCCCCCCCACTATTTGAAATAGTCTTTGATAAGAGGCCCTACTGTTTAAACCACCCAGGGCGCGGTGGAGGCTTGAACCCATTACACTTTCATTGTGGATTCCAGAAAACACCGGCAAAAGGTTAATTAGTGCCATATTTATCCTTATGTGGTGCTTTCACCTCTCCTAGAACTTTATCACCACCACTGTTAGTTACTTATTGATCCTTTTTTATTTTTCTTATGCTTTATGGCTTGCTGCCAAGAAACAATGGGCCTGGAATGGAGCTCAGATGCTTAGGGAAAATGAGAGGGGCTGAGGCAAACCTGCCACAACAGAAGTACCCCATCGATGGTGTTTTGGAAACATTGGGATTAAAGCTAAAGCTTGGCTGAGGTTCTTTTCTTCAAACTGCAGTTATTTATCGATAAAGCAGGTAGCTTTGGGAACTGGCATGATCCCTGGTCTCTCACACTCTTTGGTGGAAGGAATGTAAGGAGCAGAGATATCTGTGTTAACTTTTGCTGCTCACTCAGGTGACTTACAGCCCGAGAGGCGATCAGACTGCCATCTCTAGAGCTGATAAGATTGTGTGGTCAGCCTGTGAGGCAGTGGGTGCACCCTGCTTGGCCAGAAGCCCACTCTAGTCTCTGCTGCGTCCAGCTGTCACTTTCCTGAGTGTTAGCTTCCTTGCCTCTGTCATCTTGGTACCTGTCAGCTTGGACTGAGTGTGAATGGGGGCCTGTGATCCCTCTTCAGAAAGGACAGAGAGGTTTCTTCCTCCCGCCATGGTGGGCTTCCATCAACACTCACTCTGCTCTTCTTTGACTGATGTTTGGGCATTATTAGGATTTGGGAGCCTCTTTCTATGACTTCCCCTCCCCTTTTCACTAGCATTTTCTTTGCCTTCTCCAATGCTTTTTATGCCGGCAAGTGTTCATCAGCAGATGATGGAGGCTGTTCCACCTTAGTGTAGCTCTCTGTGCTATTAATTCAGTTCTGAAAAGCAGCAGGGATAATGTACGCCTGAATATTACACTTCAATTTATGGGCCTGAAATGACTGATTAAAATAATGCTCTGTGCAAGTGTCAAAAGTCAGCAGTTCCCAAAGGTCAGTAATAAGAAATGTCGTGATGATCCTCCTGTCCTCTCGCTCACTCACTCACAGCTCTTCTAGTTGTCCTTTCTTTCCATATGTATCTCTGTGTTTCTAAAAAACGTTCTCATATCAGGGATTTCCAGGCCTCCATTCTGTTGGATGAAGACTTAACGCTCTTAGGCAGCCCCAGTGACCCCTGCATCTTCTCCTTCTGTCACCCTCGCCCCACTGTCACTTTGGAAATGTTTTCTGGTCTGTGAGCTGTTTGTGAAGTTCATCCCAATAAACAGTCAGGCAGGTTTCCTGTTTTGGGTTGGATCAATTCACTCTATTCTGAATGGTTCATACTGGAACAGTTCTTGATTACTACACTTGCCAATAACTCGGCAGACTCCCTTAGAATACTCTTTCTAGTGAACTAACTTGGTAGATGGACCCAAGGCATTCAGAGAGGGCGAGCCAGAGAATCACGACATAATTCTAACAAAGAAATTGTGGTCTTCACATAGCTTTCTAGAAGGTTCGAGTTGTTTTAAACTTAAATGGAAGCTGAGATTGTCAGTAAACTTGGGACTAAGTCTGATGAGTCTATGGCAAGTAGTGCAGTCTTATCTGCCCTTCCTTGGAAAATACATAGAAGGACCAGGCGTTTACAAACAGCTCAGCTTTGTAAATGGGAAGCTCGAGGATGCCCTCTCTCACCTCACTCCAGTAATATTTAATCTAGCCATAATTAGCTAACCATGGACGATAGGAAAGAGATGTCAAGGCCAAGAGCACTTCAGAATCGAGCATTCGATCTGACAAGGGGCATAATTAAGTTCTTTCTCCGCCCCTTTCTCCCAGTGACTCTTGGGTCGTGCTTGGGACACAGGATTCAGATAACTCCAGAAGTTCGTCTAGGGCACTGATAAGATCAAACCTTTTCTTGGAAAATTTTTACCTCAGGAAATTCCAGTTGTCAAGGATTCTTACAGACTAATATGTGGCAGTTAGGGTGTGTGGTGGGGGATGGATGGGGGACTGGGAAGCAAAAAAGGGTTTTATGAGAGGGAGGCCTGAATAATTTCATTGGTACATGTGAACTCATTGAACTCTAGTCTCAGAAGAGACAACTTAAAAACAAAACTGTGATATCATAGTGAACAGACCGAGCAGAGACCGATGAGAGAACAGGCTTTCATAAAAATCACAGGTTCCTGAATTTCTGTGAAGTCATCATAACGCTAAATCTGAAATTATTTGTTTGTTCATTCATCCATTCAGTGCTTATCTTGTGCCAGCTCCATAAATGCTGAGGATACATTGGAAAAGCAAACTCAGCCACAGCTCTCAGATGTTTGCAGTTTAACACACAGGGGTTGTACAGACACAGACCGATAGGTCTGGGGAGGAAGAACCTGGGTCTGTGAGGGCAGAGGTAGATGCCCTGACCAGGCTCTGGCTCTGGGATCGTTGAGCTGAGAGCTCAAAGCTGAGGGTTGGGGAGTGGGAGGAGATATTCCAGGCAGAAGGGACAGCATGTACAGGTCCCCATGATGGGACAAAAGATCACGAGAGGAACGGAAAGGAGCCATCCTGACCAGGTCAGAGCACGAGGTGAGAGCAATGAGAGATGAGGCTGGAAGGTTAGTTTGAGATGGCTCCATGCAAGGCCTTTTTGGGAGGCCAGCCAAAGAGGAATATGACAGTAAGATCTGCACTTTGACGGACACTCTGCCTCCATTGTGCAGGTTGGGCTGACGAATGGTGGAAGGACAGTAGTTTGGGTGGTGGTTGGAACTGGGGAGAAGGATGCAGAAGCTGTGGAGGGGTAAACTTGTCATTAAAAAAAAAAAAATTATTGTGAATCGGGCAAAGGTTCACAGAACAGACCATCCGTTTTCCATTCAACAATTCATACACGTTTTGTTGTTTCATGCCGTTGATTGCAGTCCACAATATAGCATTACGTATCTTGCTTCTTCCCAATGTTTCCTGTTTCCATTGCTCCTTCTTTCCTAACCCTTCGGAACTTTGTCCTTGGGTACATGCTGCCCTTTTGATCTCATATGGTTGCTTATTCTAAGGTGTGCAGATCTCACTAGTGTGATTGCTCCCCTTATATTGTTGTTAAGTGCCATTGAGTGTACTCCAACCCATAGCGACCCTGTATAGGGTTTCCAAGCAGCAGCTGGTGAGCTTAAACCACCGATCTTACAGTTCAAACAACTTTGCAGTCTGACGCATTAGCCCAAAGCACCACACCAGGACTCCTTTTGTTTGGCTGAAAATTGAGCTATGGGGGTGAGTCCAGCTCCAGACCTGAAGGGTGATGATGGCCATAGTTTTAGGGGTTCCGCCAGTTTTTATCAGACCAGCAAGCTGGGTCTCTTTTATGCTTTTGAGTTTTGTTTCACATTTTTCTCAGTCTATCCAGGACCTTGTAATGTGATCCCTTTCAGAACAACCTGGTAGGATTTGATGGATTGGTTCTGATGGATGAGAGACAAGGATGGCACTATGGTGTTTGACCTGCACAACAGGCTGGAATTATGCTATTACCTTTTTTTTTAAAGTTTTTATTGTGAATTGAGTGATAGTTTACATGGGAGAACATCGGTTTTACACCATCGTTTCCTTGCAATGATTACAATCTCCTCCGTGCATCATCATTCAACGTATTTGCTTCAATTCCCTGTTTTTTTTTTTTGGGGGGGGGGCGGGGGTGTACACAAAAACACTCAGGAATCTATAATCATTTAAACAAACAAAGGGCACATTCTGCAAGCCTGCCTCCTGGCCTCCAGCACACAGCCTTTTTCTTTCCACGAGTCTGGAGTCAGCTGCTCTCTCTCCATGTCCTCATCTCTGCCTCCATCTCTGGTGTCGCTGCTTCTCTGGATAGGGTCCCACTTTCTGCTTGTGCTCTTCTTCCTTGATGGTCCTAGGGTCCTCTGTTCCTGGACTGTAAAATTAATTACTCCCCCCTTTATGTTGCAAAACTTCTATCTTTACAGTTGTGACAGTCACAATTAGTCATGATAACAATGACTCACTATTGAATCATAAGAATCTCATCCCCATCTCTTTTCACCAGACCTGTCTAGACAAGATGGAAACTATTCAGTGGGGACTCTACCTTCTCCCACACACTCTGAAACTAAACTCCCTCTTGAAAACTTGTAAGCCAGTCACTTCGTGCCTTTATGGCTCCCCCCATTTTAGGTTGTTGTTGTTGTTAGGTGCCATCGAGTTAGTACCGACCCATAGCAACCTTATGCACAGCAGAACGAAACACTGCCCGATCTTGGGCCAACCTCACTACTTTTGACATGCTTGAGCCCATCGATGCTGCCAGTTGGCCAATCCATCTCGTTGGGGGTCTTCCTATTTTTCTATGACCCTCCACCTTACCAAACATGATATCCTTCTCCAGTGACTGGTCCCCATTTTAGGTAGCCAGTGCTATTATGTTTTAAAAAGTGAATCCTTCTGATGGTTTTCTCCAAACGAGTACAGTACTTTTGATATACTCCTCCGTAGGGACAGATTGGAGTACGACACTTTCTAGGGACTGCAGTGGGCAGTGGGAAGAGGGTTGTTTCATGGGAGAAACATGAGTACAGAAGTAGGAGGCCAGAATGTGAAGTGTGAACATTGCCTGAAACTAATTTGACTACTGTCAGGGAGGAAGCTCATCAAGATGCTTCTGGTGAATTTTTTTCCCCCAGTGATTTAAATGGAAGAAGAGAACCAGAGACGAAAGGGAGTGTCTAGAGTGCGGCAGGTGTACTTGACAAATTGGAAGAAGCTATCGGATTTTATTGTTTAGGACACATCTTAAACCAATGTTCGTTCCTGTCAGAGTCAAACTTGCAATTCAGAGAACTGACTTTTGTGTAACCTGGCAAAACCGGACTTGTTTTATTTCCCCAGGTGATTGATATGCCTGAACACAACCCTGGCAATTTGGGAGGATCAGTGAGGATGGGATTAAGAAGAACTGTTTTCAAAACGGAAAATTCCATGTTAAGTAAGTTCCTGGATCATTGATTGCCGAAGGTGTCTGGTGCTGTTGACATGGGTAGGATCACAGCTCTCGGGATGGAGTCTTCCCCTGCCCCATCTGTCTCATCTCCCATCTCTCCCTATTCCTGTCACACATCCTCACCTGGACAGACTGGATCTCAGGCTTAAAGAGCACATAGTGTCTCCTTGCTTCCCCTGTCATCTTGTGACACCCTGCACGGTGGGTGGTTTGGTGAATTCCCAGATACTCCCAGAGCTTCATGGACACTGGAGAGTGTCCAAAGTCCTCTCAAAGTTAGGTCATGATCTTTCAACTGCGTTTTGTCTGTAATTTCTGATGATACATATATGTGTCATTTTTCCATTCCCCCCCCCCCGACACACACGGGTATTGTACCGAAAGAACTAAAGGTTGGTGGTTCGAACCCACCCAGCTGCTCCTTGGGAGAAAGACCTAGAAATTTTTTCTTGTAGAGTTGTTGGCCTAGAAAACCTTACGGGGGAGAGTTCTCCTCTTTCACTTGGAGTTGCTATGAGCCAGAATCAAGTCGATGGCATCCAACAACCACCAAGTGTTGGGCTCCTATTCTCCATATTCTCTTAGACTTTTGTGAAGTGGTGATAGTTGCATTCCTATGAAGACTCTGTCTTGAATGAGCCCAATGTAGTAGCTTGCTGCAGTTCTGTTACAGAAGTTCCCTGTCCCCTGCTACTGCTGTTTTTTTCCCAAACCTATCTTGGGAATATCCATTGCTATGAATGAATTCTGACTCATAGTCCTACCCTACCTAGGGTTTCCAAGACTGTAAATTTTTACGGGAGCAGACAACCCCATCTTTCTCCCTCAGAATGGCTACCAACGCTTATCCCGAAGCACCACCAGGGCTCCTTAGCTTGCCCGTAACTAGTTTCTTTTATTGTTGTTGTTGTTAGGTGCCATCGAGTCGGCACCAACCTATAGCGACCCTGTGCACAGCAGAATGTAACACTGCCCGTTCCTGGGCCAATCTCACCACTGTTGCCACACTTGAGTCCATAGATGCTGCCACTTGGCTAATCCATCTCGTTGGGGGTCTTCCTCTTTTTGTCTGACCCTCCACCTTACCACACATGATATCCTTCTCCAGTGATTGGTCCCTCCTGACAATATGTCCGAAGTATGAGAGATGAAGTTTGGCCATCCTGGCCTCCAAGGAGCACTCAGGCTGCACTTCTTCCAAAACAGATCTATTGGTTCTTTTGGCAGCCCATGGCACTTTCAATATTCTCCTTCAACACCATAACGCAAAGGCATCAATTCTTCTATGGTCTTCCTTATTCACTGTCCAGCTTTTACATGCATATGAGGTTATTGAAAATACCATGGCTTGGGTCTACATGAGCATAATGGGAAATGGAAGTTGAGGCTAGGCTGACTCAGCATACCGAGTCATAGGAGAATCTAAGAACAACCGATCCACATTTTCTTTATCTAAGTCAAAAGTCCAAAGGAGGAGGCACTGGGGCTTTCTTGGTTGACACATTTCATCCTGTCGCGTCATGAAGCCTTCCAGAGCCTCAGCCCCTGTTGGATCGAGCACTGCTCCAGCTTCCCTGGGGTTTGGTGGGCGCACCTCCTTGGCCCCTGACCGTGTCTGAAGAGCTGAGACTGCAGGGCTCTCCCCGACTCTAACAGCTCCTTATGCTTCCACGGGTCCCCACTTTGGTCATCCTGACCCCACAGTTAGCAGGTGGCTCCCTGATCACCATGCCAAAGATGCCACCTGGGCTGCCACACCTTGGGCCCCTGGGTATTTTGAAGTTCCACAGGCAACTTGCCACCACACATTCGTGGTTGAGAACTTGAGGTACAGATGGGCTGCCCTTAGACCCAGCATTCCTCTAAGCCTGATGTTCTACATGCTTCCGATTGTTCACCATTCAATAACTCACCAGGATATATATGTGTTTGTGGGTAAATCTTTGTCCTATTTTTGTTTTTTGAAGTTAAATACTTAGAAGTTGAATTTCAGGGTCAAGGGAGAAATACATTTTTGCCCCCATCAGGTGTTATTAATTTGAACTGTGACCAGTATATATGCCACAAGATATTTGCCATTTCATAAGTACATTGTTAAGGTGGGGCCTAAACCAAGTGGTCATGAGGAAGTAGCTGGTGTGGTAGGGAAAGCATCGGGCCAGGTGTGAGGAGACCTGGGCCCAAGAGCTGGCTGTGCTGTTTAGCAGGGTGGGACTTTGGGCAAGTCACTTCTCTGGGTTCCATCTTCTTTTGTAAAGTGAGCCCCCACTGTGAATCTGCACAGAACCTACGGGGTGGCCGTGCCTCAGTCTCTCTGTGCTGCAGGCAGGCCTCTTGAGAAGCCCTGTGGATCTATGTATATGGTGTACTGCGTCCCCGTCCCCACGGGCTTTCCTTTCCCCAGTGGGGCCTGCTGACTTCAGAATTGCTTCAGGACTTCAGAGAAGAAAATCTAGCATGAGAGTAGAGTTCATTTTCAGGCCTCTAATAGAAGGAGTCCTGGTGTGGTGCTGGGGGTTAAAGCGCCAGACTGCAAGGTCGGTGGTTCAAGCTCACCAGCTGCTTCTTGGAGACTCTATACAGGGTCGCTATAGGTAGCAGTCGACTCGATGGCACTTAACAACAACAACAACAATAGAAGGATAAAGAACATTTTTGGCACAGTGGTTGAAGTGCTTGGCTGCTAACCAAAAGATCAGTGGTTCAAACTCACCCGCTGCTCTACAGGAAAAAGATATGGCAGTCCACTTTCATAATCATCACAGCCTTAAAAACCCTTGGAGCAGTTCCATTCGTTCCCATAGAGTTGCTTTGAGTCAGAACTGAATCAACAGCAATGGGTTGGATGGAAGGATAGAAATCCCAAAGGTATCCTACCCACATATGTCATGCATGTCATTTTAAGAGCTGGTCACTCCAAGATTAATTTCATTTTGTGTCTTTACAGGAAAGCTTTATGGTGATGTCCCTTTTATAGAAGAAAGACACAGACATCGGTATGAGGTAAGGCTGTCATTCTGAATTTCCATGGAATATTGATTCTGAACTACAAGGAGCCCCTGTGGTTACCAAGGACCCACTGAAATGCTTGAGGAAGAGTGCCAAATCTCCTGTGCAGCCAGAGGAGGCAGCAGAGGTCTGAAGACTGCTCTTCTTGGCTTTGCAAAGTATCCACACACAGGGTTATCGAGGTGCTATGCTTCCTTAAAGCAGCTGTGGTAGCATAGTGGATTACAAACCGGACTGCTCACTGCAAGGTCAGTAGTTCGAATCTACCAGCTGCTCCATGGGAGAAAGAGGAGGCTTTCTGCCCCCTCAAAGATTTATAGCCTTGGAAACCCTCTGTAGGTTTACTATGATTCGGAACCAACTCTGTGTGGCACACAACCACCACCACCACCAGCACCATGTTACCCTGACTGCTGTCTTCTAGTTTTGGATTAGGTCATGAATAGTTAGCCTCCACGCCCTACCCTTTATTTGGCCAGGTGTGGGTAAAGGGGAACTTACAATGTTTTGAAAAGAAACTAGATGTCTCTTGGGACAGGGTCCCAGTCCCTGGAGGAAATTGCCTACCAAATAGAGCATCATTACAGTGGTGTCACCCAGTGTGGCAACTCATGGGCCACCCTCTCCCCTCCCCTTCTTGTGGACCCCTTCTGTCCCACATCATACAGAATCCTTAGTGATGTTTGTTCTCTATGTAAATCATGGACTGGGTGGTGTTTGGGTGCTGTGGAGTCAGTTCCAACTCATAGTGACCCTATATAGGGTTTCCGAGCCTGTAAATCTTTACGGGAGCAGAAAACCTATATGTGATTGTTGTGGTGGTTAAGTGCCATCGAGTCAGTTCCGACCCATAGTGACCCTGTATAGGGTTTCTGAGGAGCAACTGGTGAGCTTGAACTGTCAACCTTGCAGTTCAAATGGCTTTGCAGTCTAGAATGTTCAAAAAGTAGATTAGCATAGAGTTTTAGCCTTGTAGGTATATTAATACATGTTAAGTTAGGCTTATGAAAAATGTTTTTGTTATTGTAACTACAGGGTTGTTTTTTGTTTTAAAAAATAAATGTTTTATTGTGAATTGTGTGATAGTTTACATGGGAGAACATTAGTTTTACATTCATTCTGTCATATATCGTTTCGTTGCCATAGTTACCATCCCGTCCATGCATCATCTCCCAACAGAAGGGTGTACCTTGCATGCCTCTATCCCCTCCCCACGGTCCTCAGCACACAGCCCGTTTTCCTCTCTGGATCTCAAGTCTCCAGCCACTCTATCTCTTCATGTCATCTTCTCTGTCTACATTTCAGGCCTCACTGCTTCTCTGGGTGGGGTTCCGCTCTCTGCTCTTCTCCATTGATGGTCCCAGGGCCCTCCACTCCTAGACTGAAAGGTTAATCACTCCCCTGCTTGCTATAAAATGTCCACCTTTACATTTCCAACCCTCACAATCAGTCCTGATAACAGTTATTCACTATTACATCACAAGAGACCCATCTGCATTTCTTTTCATCAGCCCTTCCTAGACAGGTTGGATACTACTCACTGGAGGCTCTACCATCCTCCCCACCCTGTCGATCTAGGTTCGCTCTACCGGGTTATTTTTTATAAAAATTAATGAATAAATTTCTGCTGAACAGTCATTTTGACAGTGTCACCTAGTGTGATGTGTGCCCCTCACATACCCCTCGTGACTCCAACCAGTGCGTCATTGAGATGGAAACCCTCCAGGTTGACGAAGTACCTTTTCATAAGCTGATGCATCTGTATTGCTCTCCTGCCCACAGACATTTAATTTCCTCTTTTTACAGGTGAACCCTAACCTGGCCAGCCAATTTGAGCAGAGCGACTTACATTTTGTAGCTCAGGATGTTGATGGGGAGAGAATGGAAATCATGGAACTGGCAAGTAAGTGGGCGCTTTCGTTTTGAAAAGCTTCACAATGCACTTACATCTTTTTGTTGCCTATAGATACAGGAAGATATAATTTGACACCCGTTTTGCTCAGTCTCTCTCTTTTTTTCCTTTCTACTTTGAAGTAAGTATGCAGCTACAAAGTACATGGGGAAAAAAATAGACTGCTTATATAAAATCCTAATCATTTGGGGCCCTATTAGTTCTGACCTGACCACAAATGCTATGTTGTTCTGAGTCTACCCGTTCTACAAATAGATGCAGCCTTGGCTGTCATCTTCTACCTGCCTTTGTGGGGGTGTCTCTTATGAGTTAGCTACAGAGCTAGGCTCTCTGGGAAAGGCAGACAGCTCGCTGATGAGTCCCACTACTTGCTCCCCTCTTTGAAGAATGGTAAAATGCCCATCTAGTTACTGGTGGGTGACCGGTGTTGATGTTTTTGCATATGGATCTGTCTCTTCATGACACCTGGGCATGTCTTCCTTTCCCCACTGCTAGTGCCCCATCATTTAACTTTTGAACAGGAATCCTTACACTCAGAGACGTTCTTTACGTGCTCAAACACAACACAAAAGAATTGGACTTGCATTGAGGAAGATCACCAAAGTTGTTTGTAGTTGGGTTGGAATGACATATATACAGTAGTATATAAATTTATGCAGTATGTTGATATTCATGCAGTGTTCTTCTCATTCAGATCTGCAAGGCCATGGTAAGCTCAAGGTTACAGCTGATTTCAGCTTGTTTGCTTCATGTTCTAGACCAGGGGTTGGCAAATTACGGCCTGTGAGCTAGATCCAGCCTACTGATTGTTTTTGTATGGCTTAGGAGCTGAGAATGAGTTTTACATTTTTAAGTGGTTGGGGGAGAAAAATCCAAAGGATATTTGGGAGACATGAAAGTGACTGCTTTCATGCCACACCAGCAGAGATGGGACGTCATCACAGAGACCAACTGGCCAGGAAAGCCTAACCTATCGACTGCTTAGCCCCTTCACAGACATTTTTGCTGGCCCCTGTTCTACAACTAACTTGAACATCTAGATGTTCTCCTGGCACATCCAGCTCAGCTTATTCAACAATAATTCACATGCACTCCAAACTAATTTTCCCAGCTGACTATTTCTGTTAAGGTAGCATCAATCTTGTGGTCCAGCGTTTCTCAACCTCAGCACTGTTGATATTGGGAGCTAGGTGCTTCTTCGTGGTAGGGGACTGTTCTGTGCATCGTGGCATGTTTAACAGCATCCCTGGCTTCTACCTACTAGAAACCAGTAGCGTACTCCCTCGCAATCGAAACATCTCAAAATGTCTTCCAATTTTGCTAAATGTTGGGCATTGGGGGAAGAAAACCACCCCTGGTTGGGAACCTCTGCCCTCCATCACTAGGCTTGAAGTTAAACTTGTTTAGCTCTTCTTACCCTTCATAGTTCCAAGTTGTCGTCAGTTGTCAAGTCCTGTAGATTCCATATATGGAAGGAAAGATGAATTTGGCATTGCATGTCCATCACTGCCCCCAGTCCTGTTGTGTAGTAACACCCACTTCAACTAGTTCTCACTCCTAGTGCCAGACTCTTCCCACTCCAGTCTCTCCTAAAGAGGACAGGACCCGGCCTGTGCAGTGCATGTGGCATGACTTGTGGTGGATGCTCTAAAAATGGTATCATGGTTTTCTAGACCCGACCTTTTCAGCCTGTATACTTTAGACCTGGATACACTAGACTACTTATTCTTCTTTGAATAGTCCTACTTCTTTGTCCATCCCAACCCATGCCTCTGTTCTCTACTTCAAATTCCTTTACTTTCTTCCCTTTCTGCCTCTATTTGTTCCAATACTTAGTAAGTCCTGAGCAAGGAGGACAATTGAAGTCAGTGAAGGTTCTTTGAACTCAGTAGCATTTGACAATTCTGAGAAAAGGAAATCCATGGATATTTATTATCCACTCACTGGACCCTTGTCTCGTTGGTGAGTCCTCTGCCTGCATTATCAAACCTACAAAACCAGTGATGCTGCTCCCATCTTACAGAGCAGGAGACTGAGGTGCATGGAGGTTAAGGAACCTGTTCAGGGCCATCCACTCACTGCCTCTTTCTGCCATCACCCTTATGGGATTCCATATACTCAGCTTCTCTTCACTGAACATCCAACCTAAGATGATCAACCCATACCCGATTTATTTATTTTTTATTTCCTTCTTCCATGCCTACCATTTTGCATCTGACTAGTAAAGATATATTTCCTTCCATCTTTCTTCTGGAGATGCCCATCTAGAATTTTCTCATTGTGGATTACCATTTGGTGTTAGTCTCTTCCATCTTTAGTTCATGTGAGAGAGAATTTCTTAAGCACGTTACTACTGTGTTAAAGTACTTACTCTCTCTTTTTTCCCCCCCTTGAGGTAAAAATGTAATAGAAAAAAATATTCTTAAGAGTTAGAAAAAGATAAACAGTGAAAATTCAGTGTCTCTTCCCTCTGGGTCCTCCAGCAACCCAGAGGCAACCATTGTTCCTAGTTGCTTCGTATTACTTCAGAGATATTCTATGCATATGCATGATACTTTTATTATTATTATTATTTTAAAAAATAGCAAACTACACGCACAGTTCTGCACCTTGCCATTTTTGAGTGAAATCTCTATCTTGGAAATTGTTCTCTCTCATCACATGAAACTTTTCCCATAATTTTTTGTTCATTTGTTTCTAAATTTTATATATTTTATTGCTGTTGTTGAGCATCTACCTAGCAAAATAGACACCAGGTCAATGGCACCTTTACAATTCAGTGACACTGTTGGCATTTTTTGAGTTGCCCAACCATTCCCAGCCTCCTTTGCTGAGTTGTTGGTCCCTCATTAACATAAATTCACTGCCCCCTAAGGTTCCTGTCGAATGTGTTGTTGTTGTCAGTCTGGTTCCATGCAGAGAGGTCATCAAATACCTTGAGACACTTTTTGTATCACAAGGATTTCGATCCCCACTGATGCCTTTGCATTTCATGTGCGTTGGAAAGGAAATTAGAGCAGCTTTAAAACCTGGCAATTTCAAAAAGCTGACTGCAAGGGAATTCATTTTATTAAAGGGAAGTCCCCAGAAGACTTTTGATCTGAGCTCCCTCTTAGAAGCATTCTCACGAAGCTCCACTATTTCTAAACAGTTCTAAAAAGAACAACAAAATTTAAGATTAGTCTAATCTCAGAATTCGATTCAAAGCAATTAAGAACATTGTTTTGAAAGTAATTAATCTGGTTGATGGAACATCATCAAAAGAACAGCTTTATAGTCTCATTCCTCATATTGGTGTAGTACAGGCTATTTTTGGAGAAAGAGATTTGAAGCAATGATCCATTCATTCAAATATTCTGTCCCTGGTTCTGACATTACTGGACCCTGCAGTCCAGTGCTTATGCTATAGCGCCACACCAGAACTCCACATAGTAGCCATTGTTGTTGTTGTTAAGTGCTGTTGAGTCGGTTCCGACCCATAGCAACCATGTATAGGGTTTCCTAGGAGTGATTGGTGAGCTTGAACCGCCGACCTTGTAGTTCAAACGGCTTTGCAGTCTGGCGCATTAACCCATAGCGCCACACCAGGACTCCATAGTAGTCATTAGGTACGTGTAGTTATTCACTACTTGAAACAGGTTTAATTTTGGTTTTTGTTTCTAAGCAATGTTTTATTGTGGTTTTGGTGAAGGTTTACACACACAGCAGGTTAGGTTCCCATTCAACAATTTCTACATAAGTTGTTCAGTGACATTGGTTACTGTCTTAGTTTTGGGGATACACTTGGAAATTGTATTCTGGACAAAAACTGTCTGAGATCACTAAATAAGCTTCCAAGCCAGTTATGCTAGAAACAGATGAATAGAGAAAAGATGATCTGATTGCCACGTGTCATGGGTTGTTTACAAGTGGGTGGCTTTAGCCATCAGAAATGCATTTTGTCACAGTTTGGGAGGCTAAAAGTTCAAAGTCAAGGTGCTGGCTCTCGGGGAAGGCTTTCTCTATCTCTCCGCCCCCATCTCTGCTCACTCACTTGCTTGTTATCATCTCTTTTATATCTCCCAAGAAATCGACTCAAGACACACCTTACACCAATCCTGCCTCAGTAACATTGTGAAGACAGCCTATTCCCAAATGGGATATGATAACCACAGGTTTAGAGGTTCGGATTGACAACACATATTTTGGGGGGGACATGATTCAAACCCTAACTATTACATTCTTCATAATTTGCAAACATTCTCATAATTTCCTTTCTGGTTGTCCCGTTTCCATTAATCTCATTTCCCTGCCCTTTTACATTCTCATCTTTGTTTTAAGGCATTTGTTGGTCACTTGGGCACATAGAGGTGATTTTTCAATGGAGCTCAGTGCTCATGGGTGATATTCTTTATTTTGTGAGCCAGTCTCATTTAGCTAGGTGACCTCAGGGGTTTGTTTCTGATCCTCCAAGTTTGAAGAGGATCTCAAGGGAATAGTCTCAGGGAGTTCTTCAGTCTCAACGAGTCCATTAAGTCTGTTTTGTGTTTTTGTTTTTAAATACTACATGTAGCTAATAACTATCATTTTATGTAGCATAGTTGAGCTTTTTGCAGTTTTAAGTACGACCCTAAGGGTTCTCTTTGTGTTGGTTTATCCCAGGGGAAAAAAAATCTACCTTCTCTTAAGAAGGTAGAGAATCCTTTGTAGAAAGTGGCTTAAAGCCATGTGAGAGAACAAATGACAGGGACCAGCCTGAAGTCTGAGGGATACTATGGAAATTGAACCAACCTCAGCCTGCCAGGACAGTCCAAGAGCCCTGGTAGACTTTGGAAAAGTAGAATTCATCTTGCTATCCAAAGGTTTTCACTTAACTTTGCTCATTCTAACACCTTCCACATATAAAATTCTGGATGTCTTGTTAAGTGAGATGTGTTTTTTTTTTTTTTTAATGCTTTATTGTGAATTATACAGTAGTTTACATGAGAGAACTTTAGTGTTACATTCATTTTATCGTATATCGTTTCATTGCCATGGTTCCAATCCCCTCCATGCATCATCAACTGACCAAAGGGTATATACTCTACAAACCTGCTCCCTACACTCCCCCTATCCCCCGCCCCAGTCTTCAGCACACAGTCCCTCTCCCTCTCTGGATCCAAAGTCCCCAGCCGCTTCATCACTCCACGTCATCGTCTCTGCCTCTATCTCAGGCATCGCTGCTTCTCTGGGTAGGGTCCCGCTCTCGGCTCTTCTCCGTTGATGGTCCTAGAGACCTCTGCTCCTAGACTGGAGAGTTAATCACTCCCTTCCTTGCTATAAAACGTCTACCTTTACATTTCCAACCTTCACAATCAGTCCTGATAACAATTATTCACTATTGTATCACAAGTGACCCATCTGCATTTCATTTCATCAGCTCCGCCTAGACAGATTGGATACTACTCATTGGAGATTCTGCCTTCCTCCATGCCCTCTGGCTCTAGGTCCCCTTTTGAAAGCTTGTAAGCCAGTCACTTCTTGCCTTTGTAGTCCCTCTCCCCCCACCCCCCCACCCCCATTTTGGGTATCCATTGTCCAAGTTGCCCATCTCGGTCTACTCTGTGTGTGGAAGGGGTGGGAATGATTCTTGCTGGAGATGTGTTTTTATTTTGGAATTCTACTTAGAACATGGATAATGAAAGTAACTGGCTATGATAGTAGCAATTTAGTCTCCTGACATTTAATGAATTTTTGTATCCAAAGATAAGATGTTTCAAGCAGTTTCATGTTTGTCTGCTTTAACTGCATCATGCTTGTTCTTATTTCAGATCATCCCTATTTTGTTGGTGTCCAGTTCCATCCTGAGTTTTCTTCTAGACCCATGAGACCTTCCCCTCCATACCTGGGACTATTACTTGCAGCAACTGGGAATCTGAATGACTTTATGCAACAAGGCTGTCAACTGTCATCCAGGTAACCGACCAGCTTCTGTCTCTTACCAATGACATGCATAGTTATTCAGTATCTTAGATTTCTCATAGGATTTAATGTCATTATAAGATTTGTTTTTAAAGTGAAGACTCACCTTTTTCTCTTTTAAGAAACATACTTTTTTTCTTCTTAGTGAAAATAAGCTAATCACTTCTATGGTGGTATGTGCCAATTTTATAAACCATGTTAACGTGGGTATTTAGATAATGCTTGTCATTTTGATAAGTGAAAAATGAGCTTTTCTTCTGTTGGCTTTATGTTTAGTAGATATGTCTGAACAATATGTTTATTGGCTATTTGTCTTATGAATAAGTTGTTCATATCTTTTATCCTTTGTTCTCCTGTATACTATTGTGGTCTTTTTCTTATAGATTGGTAAGCTTCCTCTGTGTAAAGGAAATCTTTTGCTTGCTTGCACATATTTGTTAAAAGTGATTTTGTTTTTCTTTTAAGTTGTTAATGGTAGTTTTTATTTTCCTTACAGAATTGTCAATATTTGTGTTACTTAATCTTTTACTTTTATGGATTCTGCCTTAAGATCATGCCTAAAAGTTTTATTGTACTGAAAGATTATATAAATAATAATCCATTTATTTTCCTTGAGCACTTTATGGTTTCAATTTTAAAGTTTAAATCTATGGTCTATATGAACTTTACTTTTAATGTAGTGTGTGAGGTAGGGATCAGACTTGAAATTTTTTTCTCCCCTAGATTATTAGTAAGCTGAGTAATGCGGATTTGTTTCAGAGATTTCTATTTTGTTCCATTGTTGATTTTGTCAATGTTACCTGAACCTTTACAACCCTTTCCATTATGATAGTATTATTGTAAACCAAGTTCCTTCTACCCTATTCCCATTATTATTATTTTAAGACAATGTCTATGTATTTCACTGTTCTTCCAGATGAACTATAAAATGATTTTTAAAGATCAGGTTCAAATAAGAATTCCAAAGATTTTCACTGGAATTTCATTGCATGTAAATATTAATTTCAGGAGAATGTATGCCTTTACTTTGTCTCACCCAAGAATATTGTATATAATAGCTTTTAAAAGTGGAAGGAACCAGCCAGGATGTCGTAGACTTAAAAACCCAGTTATCCTTGAGTGGATTCGGAGTCCTACCGAGTAGAAGCACCCTCTATAGGGCTTTCAGTGGGTGAGTTTTTTGGGAAATAGATTGCCAGGCCTTTCTTCTGAGATACCCACCAGGCTCTTATGGTTCTGCATATGAAGAGGGCCCTTTGTTCTGAAGCTGCTTAGCTTCAGCAGTAGATTGGCAATTCCAATGTGGTCCCATGTTGGATGTGAGCCGTGACCCTTCTTAGCCTCTTAATTGTTGTTATTGTTATGTGCTGTTGAGTTGGTTCTGACTCATAATGACCCTATATAGGGTTTCCGAGGCTGTAAATCTTTGCAGGAGCAGAAAACCTCATCTTTCTCCTGCAAAATGACTGGGTGGGCTTGAACTGCCGTACTTGTGGTTCAAAGTCCAGTATTTATCCTACAGAGCCACTACGCTCCGCAGCTTCTGAATAGCCTCTGTTATTCAAGTTCTCAGTTAGATGGCTAATTGAGGCCTAACAAGCATCAACTAATAGAGAAGTCTGGTTTGTGTGGACTGCCCACCTGCCTGTTGTGTGGTCTGCTGGTTCCCGTGTGGGGGCTGGTGGTCTCTGGGTCAAGCTCAACGGCAGTTTCTGAGAACTCAATTACTACTGACTCCTGAGCAAGATGCAGTCAGTATGTGTCTCTCAGAAAAGAAAGAGACCTCTTAACAAAATGCCAATGATGATGGTATTGCAATTATACCCTGTTCCTACCGGGTCTGCCATGGTAGTGAGAGGATTCTTAGCTTATCAACCACAAATTGGTACATTCTTTAAGGGCAGGCACTGTCTTCTTTACCTTTGTCTTTCCAGCTCCTTAATTACACAGGATTGTTACTGCCTGTTAAAGTAATAAATGCAGGTATCAGGGGAAGATGGATATAGTCTGGTCTAATCTTGGCATGGAGCCCCTGGGTGGTACAAACAGTTAATAATGTGCTTGGCTGCTAACCAAAGGTTGGAGGTTCAAGTCCACTCAGGTGCCTTGGATGAAAGGCCTTGCGATTGTCTTCCCCAAAGCACAGTCATTGAAAACCCTATGAAGCGCAATTCTATTCTGACACACATGGGGTGATCTCCGTGAGTTGGAGTCGACTTGCCAGCAACTGTTTTCACCTTGACACATTGCAGAGGGTTTTCCACCCAAGACTGGTGACCAGGAATGAATCATGTGACAGACCCTAGGATTCTAGAGGAACCTTGGCCTTCAAGTCCTCTCTCCTCAGCGCCATAGTGAGCATTGGAAACAGAGGCGGGCTTTGTTGGCCAGGATCTAGTGTGAGCTGAGTTGGGCTGTATTTCTGTCAAACAAGATTACTGTCTGTAATCAGCCCTAACCAAATCTGACAAGGAATATCAACACTAGAATAATATCTTCCTTCCCCAGAAATTGGTTCTGATGATATTTAACGGTGTGGCACATGTGCTGCTGACATCTTTAATGTATGGGCTATAAAATGCCTTGGCTTTGAATAAGTGCACCTGAGCCATAACCTCTGCGCTCTGCCTTGTGAGGCACATTTATCTTGTGGGCAGTGGCAGTAAGGAGATTGTTTTAGGATCTATAACTGGTGAGCAAAATTCCCACTTATTCTGTGATCTTCAGAATAGCAGGAGTTGTGAAGACAGAACCTATCTGGTCTTAGATTTGTGGTGGTCTGTCTAAGAGGCAAAATAATTTTAGGATCTCTTTTTTTATATGTAAGTTCAAAAGTACATGCACACATTAAATGAAGAGTCTTGTTTTGGGAGGCCCCAAGACCACCTAATCATTCACTGATTCATTAGAAGGGCTCAGAATGTAGATGGACTTACTTGTAGCTAAGATTTAGCAGTGTCCCAGTATAAGCATACCCAGCTGTGTCTGTAAGGGGACAAGACACAGATGGAGTCAGGAGAGATCCATTTGCAGACTTCCTGTCCTCACCCAGTGCTGTGAAAGGTCACATAGAGCTCACCCTCCCTCCAGCAGTGAAAATGTAGCAGCATGTGTTTGATATTTCTGCCCAGAGATGCTTGTTAGAGACTCAGATTATAGAGTTTCCTAGATTTTAGGGTTGTCTAGCAACCGCCAAAATTCTTGACTTCCAAAAGGAAAGTAGGTGTTCACCATAAATCCCATTGTTTGCGGAAACAGCCTAGGCACAGTGAAACAACCTTATCAGTTAGTAATGGAAGGAAAATGCTGAAAGTCAAGTTCTTAGCTGCCAGCCAGGGTCCAGCCCTGTAAGCAGGTCCTTCCAAAAATAGCAGCCTCAGGCTGTTTTATAAAAGTCTAGCAAACCATTTTCAGAATAAATAAATCCAATGGGAAATTATGGTCTATTCAATAAATCTTCCTGTTTCTTTGCTGATATCTTCTCATTTGTCTGAACATGATTTGTCCCTTGTATGAAAGGTAAGCACAGATTTGCATGGGCTTGCTTGGCATGTAACGTAATGGAATGAAGCAGCTGTATGTCATTCTAAGAAGAAAATGTTAGGAGTTTGTACTGGGCAAAATATATAAAGATCCTTGTAATTGTGAGGTCTTTGCTATTGTAGGGTAATGCCATTTCTTTAGAGTCTAGAAACAAGTTACCTAATGTCTGTCTGGAATTCCATTTTTAAGTAACTGCAGATGAGAGAGGGCTTGAAGCTAAATGTCATGGATTGTTTTTTAGTACATGTGCCTCTCTGGCATGTGCCTTTCCCGCAAAGTTCTTAAGCGCAATACACCAAATTGAAGAACATCTTCCAGTTTTTCAGCTTTGGTGTCTATCTTGTTCATTTATCAGGTCAGAGCAAAAATCTCTTGTTTAGATAGTGCTGGTTTTCTTCAAGGGACTCTTGTGGCCCAATGGCTAAGCTCTTGGCTTTGAAATGAAAAGTCAATGGTTGGAACCCACCAGCTACTCCGTAAGAGAAAGACACGGAGTCTGCTTCTGCAAAGATTGCAGCCTTAGGAAGCCTCCGGGGGCAGCTCTGCTCTGCCCTATAGGGGTCATTCTGAGTCGAAATTGACTCGAGGGCATTGGGTTATATTTTCTATCAGAAAGAAAGAATTTAGATGGGGTTCAGTCAGCAATTCACAGAAATGCTGCTCTTTGGGGAAACATGTTTTTAAAGTATAAAACCAGAATCTTAGCAACTTTGAATAACCAATTTTGGCACTAACCAACCTTCCCACAACACTCTCTCCTTCTCTACTGGGCTCACAGAATTACATGGATTACATGCAATGACCACACAGAACTCACAAGACAATACTCATGATTATGGAGTTTACTAGGGAAGTGAAGAGTTTTCAAGTCACGATCAGAAATGTCTAGGATACAGTTATTTCAGCCAGGCACACCTTTCTTTGGTCCTTGGCCTCTCAGCCATTTGTCCCCTTGGTGTCTGCCCTTTTGATTTCTCTTGGTCTCTGCCCTGAGGCAGCATCACCATCAAACCCTTACTAATTACAAAAGGCTCTAGTTCATGGGTCAGCAGACCTAGCTACCTTGATTAAATGCCTGGAGACACCCCACTCCGCAAGCAAACCTCCTGGCCGAGGGCATCTAGCTTTACTGGCTCCACAGGCGAGAAACCCTCCGATATGTCTCCTGCTCTGGTTCTTGGTTCTGCTACCACCACTCCTCTGCTACTCTTCTAATGTCACAGCTCACAGTGTACAGGGATCTCAGGGTCCAAAGGACACACTCCACTCCTGGCTCTATTTTCTTGATGGTAGTGAGATCTCCCATTCTTTCTTTTCAGTTGGCTCATATTCAGCCGGATGGCGAAATTGAACAAAGCCCTCATTAGAAATCAAAGTTTTTATAATCGTAATTAACCCTGTAAGCAGTCACTCACAACTGAATCATATCCTATCAGCATCTTCCCCCACCT